AAAATGCGTTCATGAAGCTCGCCTTGGAGAAAGGCATTGGAGACATCCATAGAGTGAATCTCCCAATTCCAGCGGGCGCCTAGATCAAGAAGGAGGCGAAGAGTGGGGAGACGGGCAGTGGGGGAGTAAGTGGCAAAGTAGTCAATGCCTTCACGTTGGGTGAAGCCTTTGGCGCAGTAACGGGCTTTGAAGACAGGGAGCTCCCCAGGCAGCTGTTTGACACGAAAGACCCATTTGCCCTTCACAATGGTGGCGCCAGGGGGGGGGACAGAGTCAACGTAAGAGTGAGTCCTAGTGAATGCCTCACACTCGGCAATAATGGCAGCCATCCACTCAGTTGCATGAAAGCCAGACACTGCCTCGGAATAGGTCTGAGGGGTGGGAATAGCGGCAGTGTCAACGGAGAGAAGAGTCGGAGAATTGGAGAAGTCGCCAATGGTGACACAGAGGAGGGGTGAAACAGGATGAACAGAGAAAAGCTCCTCAAAGCGATCTTCGAGAAGATCAACGTTCTGAGAGGGAGAGAGACGAGTAAAGAGAGCAGAGTGTTGAAAATTGGACATTGCACGGGTCATGGAGCGGGTGAGACGGGGAGAGGGTGGGGGGGCAGGTGCAGAAGGGAGGGTAGCAGAAAGAGGTGATGAGGGAGGGGCCATGGGAGCAGAAGATGAAGAGGCAGGAGGAGAGATGCCAGAGATGACAGCGGAGGGGGGGGTGGAGGAGGCAGGCAGGGGAGGTGGAGCAGGGGCAAGAGGAAGGGGAGGAGGAGAGGGAGCAGCAGAGGGCAGCGGATCAAAGTCAGACCAATGGAGAGAGGGAGCAGGTGGGGTGGGAGGGGGAGTGAGGAATGGAGATTGAGTCTCATCAAAGATGACATCCCGGCTGCGAATGAGCTGCTGAGAGGAGGGAGCATAGAAAAGGTAGCCAGGACAGTCAGAGTTGATACCAATAAACGCACAAAGCTGCGTCTTGGGAGCGAGCTTCCCACCCTGACGCGCCCGATCAGCGGGATTGATGAGGACATGAGCGACACAGCCCCACACCCGAAGAGGGCGGGCAGAAGGCTGGCGGCCAGTCCAGAGCTGAAAGGGTGTAATGGAAGAGCGAAGGGGATGAGGGCGAAGGTTAGAAAGAAGAGTGGCGTGAACAAGAGCGTAGATCCAAAGAGAGTGGGGAGCAGAAGCATGCGTAAGGAGACAGCGGGTGATCTCCGTGAGAGTGCGAATACGACGCTCGGCAACACCATTTTGTTCAGGAGAATGCGGAAGGGTGGAGGTTTGGCGAATGCCATGAGAGGAGAAGTAAGAAGAAAGAGAGTGGTTAAAGAACTCGCCACCACCATCAGAGTGGAGGCGCGCGACAGGGCGGCCAAAGCGAAGACGCGCCTGCTCAGCCCAGCGAATGATGAGGGAGGGGGCGTCAGATTTGGCACGGAGGGGATAGACAGTGGCAAAGCGAGAATGGTCATCGACGAGAAGAAGAAAATAGCGATGACCCTGACGGGAGGCAATGGGAGAGGGACCCCAGAGGTCCATATGCACAAGATCAAGGGGTTTGGGGGAGGCAGAAGGGGAAGAAGGATGGGGAGATTGGGAGAGCTTAGCTTGAACACAAGGGGTGCATGGAGGAGCGGGAGAGGGGGGAAGGGGCGGGAGAGAGGAAGGGAGATCATGAAGCAGCTTCGAGTTGACCATGCTGCGAAAGAGAGGGAAGTTGGGGTGGCCAAGGCGATGATGGAGAAGAAGGGTAGGTTGGGTGAGAGAGCGACAGTCGCAAGAGGAGACGGGAGGGACAGAAGAAGAGGAAGTATGGTGGACAGATGAGGGGAGGGGAACACGAAGGGTGTAGAGGCGAGTAGTAGGAGAAAGGGTGAAACGAGCGAGGTGCCGGTCGTGGTAATGAAGATCACAATAGAGTGCACCTGCGGGGAAGAGCACTCGTACACCGAGGCGTTGAAGGGCAGGAAGGGATAGGAGGTTATGACGGCAAGAGGGAACATAAAGGCCAGTAACAGCGCCAGAGGGAGAGGCAGGACAGGGAAGAGAGGAAGTGCCTGTGCAGATCATGGTCATGGTCTCCCCAGCCCCATCAATAGAGAGGGGACGAGGAAAATTGCGAAGAACACCAGCATCACGAAAGACAGAGTCAGTAGCAGCACTGTCAAGGACAAAATCCAAGGTGCGAGGAAGTGAGAGAGCGGCAGCCGTAGGGCTGGGAGAGTGAGAAGCAGTGCTTTGAACGGGTGGAGAAAATGGAACGAGAAAGCGAGGGTCCATAAGAGGAGAAGCACCAAGGATGCTATCCTGAGATGGCATGGTCACACTGAAAACAGAGGCCAGAGAGCCAAAACCAGAGGTTACAGCGGCAGAAGAGCGGCGACGCTGATGGGATAGCGGAATCCAAGAAGAGGGGTGGAGAAGAGGGGAGGTACAACGGCAAGTAGGAAGGGCGGAAGGGGAGGAAGGGGCAGCGAAGGGGGCGGAGAGTAGGGAAGGCAATGGTAGGAGAGGAGGTACGGCGGGAGAAGGGTGAGGATGGAAGCGCAGAGGAAGAGAGGTAAGAGCGAGAAGAGGCCCCATATGGGGGAGGGGATAGCAGTAAAGCAGTGTTGGAGAGAGAAAAGAGGAGGAGGAATAGGGGCGATGTAGTCAGCTGCTGAGCCGTTGAGGGGAGAAATAAGAGGAGGAGGGATAACGACGAAGTAGTCTGCTGCTGCGCCGCTGAGGGGAGACATAAGAGGAGGAGGGAAAATGGCGGGGTAGGCTGCTGCTGCGCCGCTGAGGGGAGAAATACGAGGAGGAGGGATAGGGGCGAAGGAGTCTGCTGCTGCACCGCTGAGGGGAGAAATACGAGGAGGAGGGATAGCGACGAAGTAGTCTGCTGCTGCGCCGCTGAGGGGAGACATAAGAGGAGGAGGGAAAACGGCGGGGTAGTCTGCTGCTGCGCCGCTGAGGGGAGAAATACGGGGAGGAGGGATAGGGGCGAAGGAGTCTGCTGCTGCGCCGCTGAGGGGAGAAATACGAGGAGGAGGGATAGCGACGAAGTAGTCTGCTGCTGCGCCGCTAAGGGGAGAAATACGAGGAGGAGGGATAGCGGCGAAGTAGTCTGCTGCTGCGCCGCTGAGGGGAGAAATACGAGGAGGAGGGATAGCGGCGAAGTAGTCTGCTGCTGCGCCGCTGAGGGGAGAAATACGAGGAGGAGGAAAGGTGTGGAAGGCGACGAAACACGGACAGCTACCAGCTGCAGCAGATAGGGAGAGAAGAGAGGCGGAGGAAGAGGTGAGAGGGTGGGGGAAATAGAGGGAGAGAGAAGAGGAGGAGGAGGGTGAAGGAGCGGAGTGTGGGGAGGAAGTAGGGTCACGATCACCAAGTGGCAATCAGTAACACGCAGCCAGGTGGCAGATGCGGAGGGGAAGGAGGTGGAGGAAGGGAGGAAAGGCACGGAAGGGAGGAAGGAATGAGGAGAGGAGGAGGAGGGTGAAGAGGCGGATGGGGTGAGGGGAGAAGGAGGAGGTGGTGCAGAAACGGCAGAAGAAGGCGCACCACGGGGGGGAGGGGAAGGCGCCTGCAGGGAGGTGTGGCAGGCCGCCCACGAGAGGGTAAGGAAGGGTGGCTGGGAGGAGGGAAGGGTGGCCAAGGAATGGAGGGCGGTGGGCAAGACGCGCGCGCGCATCGACGGCGGGGAGGCCGCGCGTCGACGGCGGGACGGCCGCGCACGTCGACGACAGGCAGGGCGCGCGACGCGGCGGTGAGTAGGGCGCGCGACGAGGTGGGGGGGGGGGGGGGAGGGCGGCGCGACGACGAGACAGGGCGCGCGACTAGGGGACGGGGCGCGTGACTAGGCAGGGAGACCTCGGGTGATGGATGGAAGGTTCCGTGATTGAAAAAATAAGAAGAACTTTAAGGGTCGAAATACTAGGGAAGATAATTTTCGACTAGGTAAAAAGTGGCGCGCCGGATGCCTAAGGCCTAAACCGTACTAAGAGATATAGATTGGGACAAAACGCCAAGGATTTGGCTCTAGATACCATGTTAAAACTGAGAGTGTGGTAGCCATGGCTAGGAAGAGAGAAGGTAGCGATAGAAAAAATTGTATTAGGAAAGAAGTGTCGAGATACAAGTCTAGAAAGGAATTGGAAACCCTAATTGAACTTAGGGTGTGTTCAGTTTGTACTATAGCTACGAAATGAACCTAAATTGAACCTGGAAGCATAACTCGCTCTAAGCATGGTGGAATGATAAGAGAACACCAAAATAAAGGCCAGAGCGAGCTCTAGCCTACTCCAACATCACTCACTAACGCGGGGGTTACCACACACCTCCACGCCCTCGTCAACACTTAGGAGGCAAACTGCCTGATGAGATCTGCGCGCTACTAACAGCTAGCCGGCTCATAGCACTCGCCAAGCCAGATGGTGGCACGCGACCGATAGCAGTGGGAGAATGTATCCTCCGTTTAGCCGCTAAGTCCGCCCTCTCAGCCCTCTCCCACGAGTGTCGCACGCATTTCCTCCCGTTACAGTACTGCGTATCCGTCCAAGGCGGCAGCGAGGCAATTATACACGCCGCCAGAGCATTCACCAGCGCAAACCCTGACGCGCTTATTCTGCAGGCGGACCTGGCAAACGCCTTTAACTCCATTAGCCGCGCATCCGTTGTCAGCGCGCTTCGCGACACCAAACTCCAGAGCTTGATCCCCTTGGTCAAGGCATCCTACAGTACGCCAGCCCATCTGTTCCTCGACGCGTGGTTCGTTTGCGAGGCATTGACGAGCGAGACAGGCGTACGACAAGGAGATCCACTCGGCCCACTGCTATTCGCGGCTGGAATATACCCCATACTCACCAGGACAGCGGCGGCCTACCCGTCTGTATTGTGCCTAGCTTTCGCGGACGACATCATTTTCTTGGGTCTGGCTCCCGAATGTTCGGACGCCTTCCGCCACTTCACGGCAGGACTACGCGACGTGGGACTGACCCACAACCCAGGGAAGTGCGCCGCATGGAGCGCTGCAGTTACAGACCCCCAGCATCTGCCCGAGGGCGTCTCGCTGCGCCCGGAGGGATTGAGACTGCTGGGGAGCTTCATCGGCTCGACAGATGGTGCAGCGGCCTTCCTGCGGTCCCAGCTGGAGACAATGTCATCCTCGCAACCCCACCTAGCAGCAATGGATCCTCAGGTGGCGGCGCTGCTATTAACGCGATGCATCTCCAGGCGCATCTCCTACTTGGCACGCACCACCCCGCTATACCTGCTACCCGAGGCGGAATGGTCAAGCTGGGGACGGGCGCTGCTGTACACACTTCTCGACGCTTGCGGGGTACGCCACCCGAGGGGTGACGCAGAGGACAGTCGAATGTGGGACCAAGCCTCCCTCCCACCGAGCCGAGGCGGCCTGGGCCTCGCTAACTCTGCTGTGGAAGGCCGATACAACTTCCTGGCGAGTTTCGTGCAAGCCCACACGCTACTCGGCGGACTGGGGGGCAAGCAGGGACCACCCTAGCAGCGGCACTGGACAGCACTGATTCGGCCGACAACAGCACCAACGAGCTACAGAGGTGGATCTAGGACTGCAGTGACAGCCTCACACATGAGGGGAGGGAACTGATAGCGGCGGAGCGGGTGAAACCTAAGGGCCAACTACAGCACCGCCTCGCTCTCTTAGTCCAAGGGGGCCGGAGTGCCGCCCAGATCACCGCATCCAGGCAGATGGAGCTGAACCCCCGGCTGGGCCACACGCAACGCCTCATGTCCCTCACAGGCTACGGGGCGGGGGACTGGCTCATGGCAATCCCCTACATGCCAGCCCTACGTTTATACCCCTGCCACTTCACGTTCGCGCTACAGTTCCGCCTCGGCCTGTCGCTTTCTGTGCATGAGTGCTGTGACTGCAGCGAACGAGTCTCCATTCTGGATAAGAGACTGCCAAATCACCTGCTCCGATGCGGTACTGGGCATGGCCGGACCAACACCCACAACGAGCTCCGTGATGAGTGCATCCGCATGGCACATGATGCAGGATATGCTGTGCACAAGGAGTGCACCGCCTTTAGCCCGGTGGACAACAAGAAGGCCGACCTGGCCTTTAGGGATGGGAGCTCAGGGGCGGTGTGGCTAGCAGACATCACAATAACAGATCCCATCTGTAAGCGGGATGAGACTGCAAGGAAAGGGAGGGGTTGGGCAGCGCAGGAGGCAGCAGACAAGAAGATAGGCCTCTACCATGGCAGGGCGGAGTTTGCTGGGTTTGTCCCCTTGGCGGTAGAAACCTACGGCTGCCCCTGCGACGAGGTGCCCACCTTCCTAAAGCTGCTGGCGGACAAAGCTGCACGGAGAATCTTCAACGCGGACCCATCTACCTATCAGGCCGCGAAGATGCTCCATCAGTTCCGCCAGCGCTGGTCGGTCGCACTCCAGAGGGCCCAGGCAGTGAGCTTTCTCACCAAGCTGAACCTGGCGGCACGAGCAGAGAACCCCCCACTGGGGGGACCAGAGGGGGAGATGAACCCGGGGGATTGTTTCTCAACACTAGAGGCACCTTAGATAGAGAAGGGGGGGGGGGGGGGGGGGGGGGAGGGTAGAGGTGTGTGTTCGCTAGGTTTTGTGCTCTATAGGTTTTGCTTGCTTGTCCCTGTTTGCTTGTCTCCGTGCTAGATGTGCCCTTCCCTAGAATCTGCATGTCTGTACCAGCCCCACCTATCAATACAAAGGACCGTTAGAGAGAGAGAGAGAGAGAGAGAGAGAGAGAGAGAGAGAGAGAGAGAGAGAGAGAGAGAGAGAGAGAGAGAGAGAGAGAGAGAGAGAGATGGCTTGGGGTTAGTCCTTAGCCGTTTTTCAGCCTCTTAGTCCTAGTCCTTAGTCCTTAGCCGTTTTCCTGCCTAGTTCCCTAGTATAAAGTCCTTAGATGCACCCTTTTGAGCTCATTCTTCATTGGTGAGTTCAGTTCACCCTCCAAAATCGGCGGCTCGTTGGAGAGAGAGCGAGAGAGAGAGAGAGATGGCTTGGGGTTAGTCCTTAGCCGTTTTTCAGCCTCTTAGTCCTAGTCCTTAGTCCTTAGCCGTTTTCCTGCCTAGTTCCCTAGTATAAAGTCCTTAGATGCACCCTTTTGAGCTCATTCTTCATTGGTGAGTTCAGTTCACCCTCCAAAATCGGCGGCTGGCGCCGGCCGCCTTCGGCCGCGCGTGAGGGGTGGCAAGGTCATAGGGAACAAGGACTATAGCAAGGGGAAGTACAACATGCAGTACTAAATAGCACACACCACCAACAACACCCCCTGGTGCGGAGTAACCACCATGGGGAAGCCCAAGGCCGTGCCTGCCGCCAAGGGGGCCAGCAAGGGGAAAACCGCGGCTACTCGGCGAGTATCCAGCAAAGCCTCCCGTCCATCCAGCGCAGGACGGATGCGGCTGCTGATACAAGGCCGAGAGGGGCCCCACGGGCTGACTCAGCAAGCCGCAACATCGCCCCGGGGCCGGGCCCAAGCGCTGCACCAGGGGTGCCCGGCACAAGGCCGATCAGGGGGAGGTAATGCAACATCTCAGTTGCCGCTGCCACTGCCGCCGACTGCTCCGATGGTTCCATCCCCCCAACCTCGACACTCTGGCGCGCCAAACACACATGGAGCTGGTCCAGGACATACGACAGCAGAGTCAGGCACGTCCCCACGTGCATTACGCGCTGCTCGACGTGGAGAGGCGTCGCAGCAACACGAGCAGCAGCAGCACGAGGGGCGGGCGGGACGGGAGGGAACAGTAGCACTTGGGGAGTTGGCGGCTGATGCAGCTGAGGCTGGGGCAGCGGAAACTGGTTTGTCGGCGGCTGCTGTTGCTGCTGAGCCCGGGGCAGCGGCGCTGCTGGAGGAGACCGACGTGGCCGCTGCGGCTGAGGTGACGGGGACGGCGCGGGAGGGGGCACAAACGGCTGGGACGGCGGGGGGAGCGTCTGCTGCCGAGACTGCTGCCGCCTCTGACGGCGGCTTAATTTCGCCCGCTGAGGTACGCCCGACTGCGCCGCCGCTACATGTGGGCGGGGGTCGGGCCGCGGAGGAGAGTCAGGTGGTACCGGAGCCGGCTGCATCCCCGTCACCGCTCGGGACGGCTGAGGTTGCTGCGGTCGTGGCGGAGGCAGCGAGGCGACAGCAATTACCCCCGAACGAAGAGACGGCGCTGCCTGCCGCTGAGTCCGCCGGAACACCTGTTGCTGCCGTGGCCGCAAACAGGCAGGGGCACGGCCGGGCGGGGAGCGGTAAACCGGGTCCCGGGACTGGCGCCGCTGCTTGCGCCGCTCGCGGGAAGAAGCTCCGCGCCCAGCCAGCACCGAGGCGGCCCGGAGCAGGGCTGGGACCTGGCGTCCCAGGACCCCTCCTGGGCTGGTTGCTGCAAGGGCAGTCGCCACAAGTGCCAGCGCATCCGTCGCCATCTCACGTCGGAGCGTCTGTGGCGAATTCCGCCGCGCAGACAACGACGCAGGCTGCGCCAACGCAGGCGCCGGGAATTCAGGTCGGCAGTAACAATGGGGAGCCGGCGGTGACAGGTACAACAGCAGCAGCAGCAGGCACGAACGTAGCGGCGGCGGCTGTAGGGACCAGGCGGTCGGCACGGTTGGGAGCGATAACCTGGGGACCACCACGGGATGGCCGTACGCCGTGGATGCCGGCGGGCCGCGGTGGCAACGGAGTGGCGGAAACGGCGGGCGCGGCTGGGCGGGGACAACGAGGGGTTTTGCGCGGGGGGATGAGAGGCGGACGGGGAGGGCGCAACCAACCACCCAGATCGGAAATCCCCGCGAGGACTGGTCCCTGGCGGGAGCGTCACGCCAGGCCCGAAAGAGTGATCCTGCAGACAAATGAGGGACAAGAAGCTTCTGACAACCCCGGGGCCGACCCAGAGTTTATGGCGGGGGAGGAGGAGACCTCTGAAGAAATCTCGTTGGAAGACGAGGAGGCACCCAGGAGGAGGAACAACCCTGAACCTCAAACCGGGGCGGCGGGGGGGGGGTATTCCTAGCAACCCAGCGGTAGGAGGAGCACCTGCCACGGAGGAGACTGACGTGCCTTCGCCGGCCGACCTGGCCGGCGACGACGCCATCTGGCACATGGCGAGGGAGTGGAATGTAGACGTGCTTCAGCGAGGGGACCAGCCATTCCTCGTCCGCCGGCTGCCACCACACCTCCTGGACAGATACTGTCTGTGCATGCTGGCAGCACTCATTCGCCTGGATAAAAATCCCAGCTGCCCAGGTGGTTGGATGGTGCTGCTGTTCCTTCCAAGGCTCACCCTCAGGCCTGCGCCCGAACCTGTCTTGGGGAGTCGCTGGGCAGCGATTAAAGCTAGGCTGCACAAATTCCAACGAGGCGAATGGTCCGAGCTCTTCGAGGAAGCAGGAGTCATCCCCGACACAGGAGCCCCGGTACGGCACCAGCCTGACGAGGAAGGGGTTTGTGCACGAGCGGAGGGGTTAGTGAAAAAAGGAAACATTTCGAAAGCGGTAGCGGCTCTGCGAACGTCCCCCCTAGCAGAAGCAACCCCGGCTACACTTGAAGCTCTGCAAGCGAAACACCCTGCAGCGGGTAGCCAGATACCAGCGTGGGTTACCGGAATCACAGAGTCAGAACTGGCGGTTTCGCTGGACTCGCTTCGCGAAATCCTGGCGAAGTGCCCGAATGGTGTTGGGGCGGGACCCTCTGGTACTTGTTTTGAACACCTCCGAGACCCCGCCCTAGCTAACGAAGAGCTGCTGCTGTTTTTCGCCAAGATGGTAAATCGGCTGCTCAGCACTTTCCAGGCCTCCCACGTAAGGAAATTGCTACTGCCTTCCCGTCTGATCGCTCTAGAGAAGCCGAATGGGGGAGTGCGGCCTATAGCAATAGGCGAAACCCTGCTACGCATAGTGGCGAAGGCGGCGCTGCATACCCTTGGGCCCAAGATTAGGGATTTTTTCTTACCAGTTCAGTTTGGCGTGGCAGTTCCAGGAGGTGCGGAGTGCATCATCCATACCGTCCGCTCTCTACTCCGTGAGGACAAGACCCGCATTGCCCTCCAGCTAGACATCGAAAACGCTTTTAACAGTGTCGAGCGACGGGCTTTCCTAGGCTCGCTGCAGTGGTCCAACCTGAGCTCGCTACTTCCCCTTGTCCGAAACCTGTACGACGGTCCATCGCCATTGCTCGTAGATGCTCGACTGGGAGTAGACCAAATCCAGAGCTCACGTGGCGTCAGACAGGGAGATCCCTTGGGCCCTCTCTTGTTTGCGGCAGCGATCCAGCCAGCCCTCATGAGCGTCTCGGCGACAACACCGGAAGTGGCAGTGGTAGCCTACGCGGACGACATCACCATTATCGGCCAGCGGGAAGTAGCGTGCCGTGCCTTCACCAAGATAGCGGATGACTTGGCAGAATATGGACTACGCTGCAACATTTCAAAGTCATCGGCGTGGGGAGCGGCGCACGACGGAGAGAACGAGGAGCTACCACTAGGCTTAGTTGCAGACCCGGGCGGGATACGGGTCCTTGGCAGTCCTATCGGCAGCAACGACTTCTGCACCACCCAAGTCCAGGCGGCACTGGAGGAAGCTGCCTCGCCCCTTCCCCTTGTCTCTCAGCTCAACCCGCAACATGCCATGCTTATAGTCTCCCGCAGCATCTCTCGCCGCATCTCATACATGCTGAGGACTACGCCGGCGACGACCCTGGGCGCAGAGGAGTGGAGGGACTGGAGTGAGGCATTGGTTGGCTCGGCGCTCACAGCTGCAAAGCTTCGCATCCCCAACTCGGAGTTGGAGCAGAGCCTACTGTGGCGACAGGCTACCCTCCCGATTCGGCTGGGTGGTTTAGGAATCATTGACCCTGTCTCGGAGGCCCCGGCTACCTACATTGCTTCTGTCACGGCAGCGCACACCCTTCTCCAGCACCTGAATCTTCCCCCGGACTGCCTGCTACACAGAGCAACGGCCCTGCTCTCCCACGATTGGAGCCCACCACTGCCGGACAGCAGCACACTGTCGAGCTTAGAGGAGGGGCTGCCAGCTCAGGCACAGGTGGCGCTGGGAGCCTACAGGACGGGGAACAAGGGCACAAGCAGCCTGCAGCTGTGCCTCTCCAAAATCATCAACCAGCAGCGCGCGGTCGAGCTCCTGGGGGACACGGTGGTGGACAGGCCTAGCACCAACAGGGGTCACGCGCTGAGACTGATAAGCCTGAGAGGGACTGGCGCGGGCGACTGGCTACACGCGGTACCAACGAGAGCTGACCTCTCTATTTCCCTTGGTCAGTTCTCGTTGGCCCTGGGCCTACGCTTGGGCATGGAGTTGCCAGTAGCTGAGGTGTGCCCGTGCAAACGTGACAACTCAGCGATTGGGGACAAGAGTCTGCCGAACCACCTGCTGCGCTGCCAGGACGGGGGCGATGCAGTCAGAACCCACAACGCCCTAGTCTACGCGGCGCTGCGGATGGCTAATGAAGCGGGCTACAAAACGTTTCATGAGACCTCAGCATTCTCACCGCCAGTCCTCAGGAAACGAGCAGACCTAGCGATACGGGACCAGGAGTCAGGGGAAACATGGGTGACGGATGTCACCGTGACGGACCCAGTATTACAGAACAGAGACAGCAGGGCCCGCAGGCCGCCTAGGTGGGCCGCGGAGGAAGCCTCACAGAGGAAGCATCGGCTCTATGAAGGGCGCCCCACCTATGCCGGATTCTTTGGGCTGGCTGTCGAGACCTACGGGGCCATGGCGGCGGACACAGTCCAGTTCCTTCGCATGCTTGCTACCCACGCAGCGAGGACGAAGTTCAGACAGGGGCGCCTCACAACAACTGCCGCTAGGCTCAATGCACACTACTGACAGAGGTGGTCGGTGATGCTGCAGCGCAGCCAAGCCATCTCACTCCTCTCCAAGACCAACCGAGCAGCTGAAGCGGCATTCCCACAGGCTGCGGGAGACCCCTGGGCCCCACGGCTAGGGGACCTCTGGCAGATGGCTGAGGATGATTATGAGGAGCGGGAGGCTCCTGCCCGAGCGGCTTAGAGGGGCAGGAGGGAAAAAGAGAGGGAGGCGGAAGGAAGATGAGAGGAAGTTGCAGGGAGGAGGATAGGGGGCAGGGGGACTATGGTATGGTAGGAGGGAGCCACAGGACGGGAGGAGAGGGAGGTATTCGGGGTCGGGTGTTGCTGCTGGCCAGCATGTTTCAGTGCTAGGGGACTAGGGTGTACACACACGGCATGGCTGCTCGGCTTGCACTGCTTGCTTTGCTTTGCTCTGCTCGCTTGTTTGCATATTGGCTTGCATGTTTTGTTGGTTTGTTAGCTCTTGGTACCTGGTTGCCTACATGCTTAGACAGACTAGCTACAACCACCTCCTGCCATGTCTGTACCTCATGACCACTATCAATACATGACTACTTGAGAGAGAGAGAGAGAGAGAGAGAGAGAGAGAGAGAGAGAGAGAGAGAGAGAGAGAGAGAGAGAGAGAGAGAGAGAGAGAGGCATTTAGGGACTTAGCCGTTTCTAGCCTCTCCTAGCCTCTCCAGCCCTCTCCAGCCTAGTATAAAGGCCCTAGGATCTAGTCCTAGAGCCTCATTATTTAGTTTCTGGTTCGTTTGCTCTCCTAACCGAGCGGCAGAGAGAGGAGAGAGAGAGAGAGAGAGAGAGAGAGAGAGAGAGAGAGAGAGAGAGAGAGAGAGAGAGAGAGAGAGAGATGCATTTAGGGACTTAGCCGTTTCTAGCCTCTCCTAGCCTCTCCAGCCCTCTCCAGCCTAGTATAAAGGCCCTAGGATCTAGTCCTAGAGCCTCATTATTTAGTTTCTGGTTCGTTTGCTCTCCTAACCGAGCGGCAGAGAGAGGAGAGAGAGAGAGAGAGAGAGAGAGAGAGAGAGAGAGAGAGAGAGAGAGAGAGAGAGAGAGGCATTTAGGGACTTAGCCGTTTCTAGCCTCTCCTAGCCTCTCCAGCCCTCTCCAGCCTAGTATAAAGGCCCTAGGATCTAGTCCTAGAGCCTCATTATTTAGTTTCTGGTTCGTTTGCTCTCCTAACCGAGCGGCAGAGAGAGGAGAGAGAGAGAGAGAGAGAGAGAGAGAGAGAGAGAGAGAGAGAGAGAGAGAGAGAGAGAGAGAGAGAGAGAGAGAGAGAGAGAGGCATTTAGGGACTTAGCCGTTTCTAGCCTCTCCTAGCCTCTCCAGCCCTCTCCAGCCTAGTATAAAGGCCCTAGGATCTAGTCCTAGAGCCTCATTATTTAGTTTCTGGTTCGTTTGCTCTCCTAACCGAGCGGCTCGCAAAGGCGGCCGGCGCTCGACAGCGCGGCCTTCGGCCACACGTGAGGGGTGGCAAGTACAACCATAGCACCACTACTACAACTAGCAACGGCATACACACATGGCAGAAAGAACAACCTACTAGCAAGGCCATGGAGCAAGCACAAGCGGAGGCTACATCTGATCCGCGTCATACACAGCAAGCAGCCCCGACATCGTGCGATGCAGCTCAGGCACCAGCACCGTGCCTGCGGCGATCGCCCCGGATCCAGTCCCTGCATGCAACAGGCGGCGCAGCCCACGCATGGCCGAACCCAGCGGCCCGACCCCCGCAAGCCCACCCCGCGCGGGCGCAGCCAACACGGGCGCCAGCAGCTCGGCGAGACGATCAGCCACCGCGAGACAATCGTCCCGAGGGCCGCCCACCAGTGAGTCGCCCTGGGAAAGGGCGGCGTGACCATACACCTGCACCAGATGTACGACCCGCAGAGCCTCCGAGAGGCGCCAGATCTGACCAAGGGTCACCTCCGGAACCGCAACCGTGCGCTGAGGCCACAGCAGCGCCTGGAACGGGTGCGCCGCACCTACGGACGGGGGAGGGGGATCCACAGGCAGCAGGGACGGATATTGCACAGTCACGGGCCCACCTGCCGCGGTCAAAAACTCAACCCCCGCCACAGGGGGTACCCATGGCATCTGGCGGGGATTCCCCGGGACGGGGGTTGAGGCGGCGGGAACAGGAGGAGGAGGAACAACCGGAGGGGGACGAGGAGCAGCCAGGGCAGAGGGCGCAGTTGGAGGAGGCGCTACTGGGGTCTGAGCAACACGCGGGGAGTTGCTCTGGCTCGCCTGCCCGTTCCGCTCCTCGCGCACAGCAGCAGATACCGCGCGCTGCAGGTCAGCCATTGTTACCGACTGGTCATACCCCCAGCCGCCACCCCGCTGACGCGGCCCCCACCAGCCGCCTCGGCCGCCGCGTTGCGCTGCCCAGTTCGCCTGGGAACCACGGCGACGAGGGGAATTGTGGCGGCGCCAGGACGTCTCGCGCTCGTCCTGCCGCGCGGGGGATTGAGGCCGCTGCTGACGACGGCCAGGAGACGGCGGAAGCTGTGCAGACAGCACAGGGGGATTTGCCACCGGCGGAGCAATGGGAACAGCCACGGGCGGCGCGGACAGACCCGCCGCAGGCGGAGCAGCCACAGGCGGTGCAAGGGGAACAGCTTCAGGCGGCGCGAGAGGAGCAGCCACAGGCGGTGCGAGAGGTGCAGCCACAGGAGGCGCGGGAGGCGCAGCCACCGGCGGTGCAGGAGCAGATCCCGCCAGCACAGGCAGAGGAGGCACCAGCGCCGGAGACGGTGCAGACGGGGGAGCCAGAGCGGCGGGAAGCGCCGGCTGGCCCAGGACGTCAGTGGTGGCGGACCCCACCGACTGGGCCGGCACGCCGCCATCAACAATCGCCCACTCGGCGGCCGCAGACGGAGCAGCGGGGTCGACAGCTCGAAGAGCGCCAAGCGGAGCAGACGCAGCAGTTGGCGCAGCGAGAGGGACAGGCGGCGCGACGGGAAGAGGCGCCGACAGCACAGGAGCCTGGCGACCACCGTCGCCAGGCCGAGACGCCGGCGCCTCGGGAAACGACGGTGCGGGGCGAGGAAGGTTTCCAGCGTATTCACAGGCTTCGGAGCAGGAAGTGTTGGGGGGCCCGTCGCCATGGTCCCCGTTCCGGAGGCAGGCGGTGGCATTCCGTACACAACCGACACAGCGCGAGCGCTCATTGGCGAATAATCGGTCGGCCCAGCAATCACCATCGAGGGGCCGTGGAGGACGAGGCAGAGGGAGAGTGGCAGCTAGCGGTGATGGAGGTGGACCGGAGAATGGCTTCCAGGCGGCAGGGAGACAGGCTTTAAGAGCTCTAGAACGGGCTAATGAGGAGGAGGATCGAGGGGACCCTTCTTATAGGGAGGAGCCGCTGCCACTAAGTGAGAGTGACGAGGAAGAAACTGATGAAGCTGAGAGCCTAAGGCCTGGGAGGCAAGCTGCCGAGCATGAGACGGGTGTGGAAGGAGGAGTGCCACCGGCTAATCGGACGGCTACGATTCCAACCCCTGGTCAGGACGGAGCACCAAGGCACCCTCAGAGGAATCAAGCCGCGCGCAATGGCAGTGCAACAACAAATCGAACACATTGCCCCCGCTACTACTCGCCAGGGGAATTGGCGAAGCTAACAGACCTGTTCGCAGTCATCGCTGATTGGGACGTGGCGGCCCTTTGCGACAGTCGTCAGCCATCCCTATCACGCCGATTACCGCCCAATTTATGTCAGCTGTTTTCACTGGCGTTACTCACCTCGCTCCTTCACCTCGCGCGAAATCCGGACTCGGTGGCAGGGTGGCGACTTCTTCTATTTCTGCCGCGGCTCACACTTCGCAAAACGTCGCCAAGAAGACCGAAGTGGCCCGAAGTCAAAGCTCGTCTCAGAGCTTTCCAGCTTGACGAATGGGAGCAGCTGTATTCTGACGCAATCAAAGCCATCAACACCCCACCGCCTCCACGTCACCAGCCCGACGAGGCGGGAGTACTCAGCAGGACGGAGGGCCTGGCAAAACGTGGAAGTCTACGCCGAGCCGTGCTGGCCCTCGAGTCAACCCCGGTCTGCACGCCGGGTCCAGCAATCATGGATGAACTCTGCGCGAAACACCCACCAACCGACAACGAGCAGCTGAGCTGGCCAACAACACATGGCCCGAACCTGCAGATCAGCCAAGCTGACTTCGCCAAACTTTTGGGTCGATGCGAAAATGGTGTTGGGGCTGGACCGTCCGGAACCGCATTCGAACACCTGCGCGACGCATCCGCAACCAACGCATCGGTCTGCACCCACCTGCATGCCCTAGTTAACACCCTCCTGGCAGGCAAATTACCCGAGCCAGTGGGGGACCTGCTGACAGCCTCGCGCCTAATCGCGCTGTCCAAACCAGGGGGGGGGGGGTTCGGCCAATTGCAATTGGCGAATGCCTGACGCGCCTCGCAGCCAAGGCAGCACTGACAGCAATTGGGGAGGCTGCACGTGACCACTTCCTGCCACTACAGTACGGGGTGGCAGTACCAGGTGGAGCCGAGGCCAACATTCATGTCGCACGTTCCTTCGTCGACTCAAGAGACAGCTGCGTGGTGTTACAGACCGACATTTCAAATGCCTTTAACAGCATTTCGCGCCAGACAATCATCGACGGGTTACGCGACAACAGCCTTTCGTCACTCCTCCCACTGGTCCGGGTTACGTATGGTAACCCGTCGAAGCTGTACCTCGACTCGAACTTCGCTAGCGACCCTCTCAACAGCGAACGCGGCGTGAGGCAGGGGGACCCACTCGGCCCTCTACTGTTCGCAGCTGGGATACACCCAGCCCTTCGCGAAACTGCCGCAGCACACCCCCAGGTACTCTGCTTGGCATATGTGGACGACGTCGCATTTTGGGGGGACGACAAGGACACTGTAGCAGCCTTCACTCTCTTCACTAGCAAGCTAGCGCAACTGGGGCTGAAACACAACCCACAGAAATGTGTTGCCTGGAGCACAAACGGCGACGAGTCAACCCAGCTGCCACCAGGGGTCCCGTTTTCGAAGGACGGGATACGCCTACTCTGCAGCTTCCTGGGGCCGGCAGCTGGCGCCGCCAAATTCCTAGCGGGGCAACTAGATGAAATGGCGAAGCCGCTGCCGCTCTTAGAACGGGCCGAACCCCAAGTAGCCTCCCTGATCCTGACCCGCTGCATTTCTAGACGAGTAGCCTACCTCACTAGAACCACGCCGCTAAACCTCCTTCCACGAGACACTTGGGCACAGTAAGGAAGAGACCTTCTAGCCGCGCTCTTGACATCATGCGGGATTAGAGTTCCTACCTGTAGCACGGAGCAGACGAGAGTGTGGGCGCAGGCATCACTTCCATCATCCCTAGGCGGGCTGGGAATCACGGACCCACTTGTAGAAGGCGTCTACGGCTTCGTAGCCAGCTTCACACAGGCAGCTCTGTTCTTTTCCTCACTCACGCTAGCACCAGACACCGCACTGACACGAGCACACAGCCACATGATTCTGCCCCGTGACAACACCACCCCGCTCCATTCCTGGCTCACGGAGTGCGAGACATCCATGCCCACAGACGCACGCGAAATACTTGATCAGGAGCGGCTCTCTCGGTCAGAAATCAAGCTGCAGCACACGTTAGCCCTCAAAGTCCAGGGTACTAGGTACGCGGTGCAAGTCCAGGATACGAGGCGAATGAAGCTGAACCCGCTCTACGGTCACACACAGAGGATGTACTGGCTTACAGGCTACGGGACAGGGGACTGGCTGACGGCGGTACCAGTGGCAACGTCAAGGCGCATAGGCCCAGTACATTTCAGCAATGCCGTTCGTTTCCGGCTGGGTCTCCCCTTCTCCACTCCGAAGCAGTGCGATTGCACAGACCACACCACTATCACAGACCCGCGCCTCCCCAACCACCTCTTCCGCTGCGGCACGAGCAAACACCGTACGAATACCCACAACGAACTCCGCGACGCATGCATCAGCATGGCACAAGACGCGGGATTCATTGTTCACAGGGAAACCAACGTCTACTGCCCCATCGAGGAGCAAACAGCAGATTTTACCATGACGGACAGAAGTAGTGGGGCGGTTTGGGTGTGTGATGTGACGGTCACGGACCCTATTAGCACTAGGGACCCAGAGGCGCTGAAAGGCAGGGGATGGGCAGCCCGGGAGCAGGCAGACAAGAAGATAAAGCACTACGCAAACCGGCCAGAGACAGTGGGCTTCTTCCCACTCGCAGTAGAGACCTACGGCTGCCCTTGCGCCGAGGTTCCTGTGTTCCTGAAACTCCTTGCAGACACGGCGGCTCGGCGATACTTCAACGCCGACTCAAAATCATTTCATGCCGCGAAGTTCCTGCACCAGTTCAGGCAGAGGTGGTCGGTTGCACTGCAGAGGGCCCAATCCGTGGGCCTCATGATCAAACTAGGGGAGGCATGGTGGTGGTGGGCGGTTGTGGGAAGGGTAAAGAGGTGACATGGTGGATGGGCGCAGGCGAGGGGAATGAGGTTCCAAGTGACAGTGTAACTCTGCATTGCTAGGTATGTGGCGGCGATCAGATGTGTCTTTGTAAAAATGGGGGTAAACAAGAAGGAAATCCAAAGGGCAAATGAAGGGCTGACATAGATGGACAACGATTGAGAAGGATAAGAACAAGGCAGTGAGCTCACAGTATGTGAAGGTTTTCCACAAATCAAAGCTGGGTAGCCAGCCAGAGAATGCGTTGCCTTGCAGCTCACTATGTGGCGAAATGGGTTACATGGGATGGGGATGGGGGAATGACCAGTAGTGTGTATGAAAGGGAATGTTTACGATGGCACATACATAATCAGCATTGATGTTGTTCAAGATACAGCTTGAGCACACGCCCTTGCCTCCCTCCTTCCTTCCATACCAGGACCAAGCAACTTCAAGGCATGCTTAAAGAGTAGCGAGATCGGTGGAAACGAGGGCAGAAGCTGGTTGTGAGCCATGGAACTGGAGAGGTTGAATGGGCGATGGTGAAAGGGAGTGAGATTGCATTCCCCATTCGGATACCATTCAAAGTTTGTCCACGCGGTGAGCAATTTTGAAAAGTGACATTTCAATGTTGGTTCACATGGTCCGAAGTCTGGACACTCTGGTTTTAGTCGGCCGCCGAACGTGCGACCAAAGTGCTCACCACCTAACGAACTGTGCGACCGTGCAACAAATCAGCAATTTGGATACACATAATCTGTTTTGTCCCTATCGTGTTTTATTGCGGGCCCGTTTCCTCAAATTGTCTGCCCAATAAAGGTAAACAAATCAAATATCGTATATATACCAAACAAGGAGCCCAAAATTGGCTACTCGCATTTTTTTTCAATGCCCGACATTCATTTCTGGCCGTTAGCAGTTGACGCTACAATTGTATATTGCGTCATTCTCTGATTGGTCGCGAGCCCAAGCAAAACGCACGACATTGGTCGCATGCCAGACCCTGCCAAATATCCAAGGTGGGGCTCTGCCCCACACGGACAACATCATCACGCCAATACACCTTCAGGTGGGCGAATTTCGAATGGTGTCTGAACCGGGAATGCAATCTGAGATGATGCTAACGTGCATGCATTGAATGTCCCAAAAGGGAAGTGCTACGGTGAGGAGTGAGCATTTAGTGACCCACGGGCCATGGCATGTTGGAGGGCACACGTGTACTACATGCCACCATGAAATTCCACCTCCATTTTGTTGTTACATGCACCATCCCATGGCCAGGTGCATGCACACCATCTCGCTTCCAGGCTAGAATGGGTAATGTGGCATGGCACAGCACAGCATGGCACGACACAGCATGGCAAGGCCCGGCACAGCATGATACGGCCGAGATAATGCGTGGCCTTCCAATTGATTGCAAACTGATGCTCTGGATGTGGCAGTCATACTACCTAACCATTGGATTGTTTTTTGGGTGAGTATTCCACAGAAGTGTTGGGTGCAAAATACCATTTTTGCACTGCAACCAGCCGACTGCATGACGTTATGCATTTTTTGTGTGTTCCGTGTGCATTTGTTTTCGCATTTCGTTTCATGTGTTGTTGCTGTGGGATCATGATCAGTCATCACGGATCATGACGAGTCATGTTTGTTCATGTCGGCTCATGTACGTTCATGTCTTTTTCATGAACAAACATGTTCGTTCTTGAAAGTTCTGTGTTTCATGAATGTTCTGTGTTTCATGAATGTCGAGTTT